TGCTAATTCCTGAAACCTATAAAACTTGTATCTTATTGGGAATCCTAGATAGATATGCTAATTCCTGAAACCTATAAAACTTGTATCCGTTTTGTACACGGGTGTGCATTCTGCCATCAAGTTGTGCACCTGAAATCCCAAATCCCGAGGTGAAACCCTTTTTATCCCCTTAACCCTGTCTGTCATTATTAAAAACTGGCTGTTCAACAGTTTTTTTGGTGCAGGTGTTCCCAGATGGGCAATTCCCCCAAACTGGAGCCCGGTACCCAGCCTGGGGCTGGGAGGGAAGGAGGGGTCCCTTGGGGCCACCACGGAGACTCTGAGCCCACAATTCCAGTACACCCCAGTGACAGCTTTACACAGACCCTGCTGAGCTGGGACACTTTGCAGGAGTCCTTTTCTCCATGCCAAAAATGGCAGTAAATAATTCAATTCAGCACATCTGGAGTGATCCAAACCCCGTGCCTGCCCCCTGGAAGGACTCGTGCAATGGAGCTGGGAGCTCTGCACACCCCAAAATCACCTTTTCTTTGTGATTTCAGGGGAATGGGAAGCACAAGAAGCAATAAAGGTCAGTGAGAGCAGGACTTGGGCTGGCCCTGAGCCTGCAAAGCTGAGGGTGGGGAAAAATCTTTAATGCACTGCCTGGGAAATAATCCCTGGAGGGGATTACCCAGACAAAAACGGGTGATGTCCATGGGGAAGAGGGTGCAGGGAGCCCTGGCTCTGATGGGGACATCATAAATGGCTCCCATCATTACCCAGCAGAAAAAAAAAATTGTATTTAATTTGCCCTTCTTTATACCAACCCTGCCCACCACGGGACAGAGACAAGGAAACTTTCAGGACTTACTTATTCCTCTTGGTTTTGATGCTCAGATCATCGTTGTCATCCCCTGGACAAGAGCTAACACACTTGTCTGCTGAAAGGAAAGAAGCCATTATTTGATTGGAACGAGATAAATGGGAACACAAATYCCTCCAATTGACTTCTCTTCCCTTGTCTTTGCTGCTCAGGTATTTCCTGGCTGTCGCTCCCCACAGAGGGTTTTAAAAACAACAAGTATTTTATAAAATCCTCGGAATTGCCTTCATCCAAACGGAAGAGACAGCAATAAAGTGACCATTTCCAGTCAGCAAAATTCCTCATTTTTCATTCACGACACGATTGGTTTAAACCTTGTTATTGTTTCACCTGATCCTCCCTCCTCCTTTCCCTTCCAAATGCAGTGAAAGACATTCAAAATCATCTCGGTGTGCTGGCAGCCTGAAGGATTCTCTGCAGTAACTCCCAGCAGAGTTTTTCTCCTTTCTCATTTCTCCTCCTGCCGTCAGCCCATCTCGTGGTGCTTCCAGGAATCCCAGAGACACCTCCATGGCCACAACACCCCAGATTTGGCTCCTCTGGGCACTCAGAGCCTTGATTTCAGTCACACACAGGGACAAATCCTGAATTCTGAAATGTTTTCACCTCTGGCAGCTCTCACCCGAATCCCACAGGACACAGCAGCAGCACCGTGCCCACCACGCTGCCTGAGAAATATTTCTGTGCTGTCTCTARGGATGGGCTGCAGATTCCTGTCTGAATGCCAAAGGCTCCAAAATCGCTGTGGGAATTCAGTAAATTAAATCATTGCTGGTTTTAACAGGAATTCTACTGTGAATTCAGTAGGAATTCAGTTCTGTCCCAGGCTGGACATTGGGGTGGGGACAGTGGAGGTGTCCCTGTCATGGCACTGGGTGGGATTTGGGGTCCCTCCAACCCAATAATTTCATGATCTGCTGACTCCATAATGTCCATTTTCTGTTAATTCGCTGGAAAATCTTCCTCAGCCTGGACTGAAGGAAGAGATCAGAGCAGAGCAGTTTGCTCTGGGCCATGGGAGAAGCTGCTCTCCCCTCCAACCCCACAAACCCTCCAACCCCTGCCCTATCAACCCCATGGGATGATCTGATGGGAACCCCAGCAATTCCTGGAACAAACCCTTGTGGAGAACAAGAAATAATAAATGAGTAATTTTTCATTAATGCCCAAATTTWAAAATCACTTGATCACAGCAGAGACAACCCAGAGCACCCCACAAATAACTTTGCTTGGCATTTTTTTTTTTATATTTTTTAGATGTTTGATTTGCAAATTCTAATTAAAGCTCAGCAGCAGCCACTCAGCGAAATAAATGTGGGCAGCGTGGTTGGGAGCACTGAGCTCGTTTGTGTTATTTATTTACTGGGGATTACAAAATGAGGGGAGAGGTAACAAATAATCCCCTTCACCTCAGAGTTAATCTGTACTAATTATAACCTGCTCCAAACACTGAGCAACCACGAGGCCCAATTACAGCCAGGAAGATTAAGACTATTTAGCAACAATGAAAGTCACGGCCATAAAAAAAAAAAAAAATCAGGAGCATGAATCAAACCTTTGTGGTGGAGATAATAAATAAAAAGGATGGAACTCACAACACAAAAATAGATTTTTTGAAGTGGCACCTCTCAGCTCTGGCTTTAGACTCTTCTGTTAATTAATTACAGAGCAGGAACAATGATCCAGACCATGAACAATGACCCTCATTTTTGTCTCTGGCCAGCTCTTGGCAGGAATTAACTGAGCTTTCAATACATCCTGCAATGGAAAGCTCTGCTTTTCCCCCTCCAGAGTGGATTTCAGCAGATGGGCTTTGGGAGGAATTAGAAACACAGCTCAAGTTCTTCAGGCCGTGCACAAAAATTTATATAGAAATGGATACACGAGCGTGTGAGGATGGAAATTCAAAGAGAAAAATGTAATTACAGRGCTGTGTCGATAAGGACAACACTGACAGAGAGCTGTCCTTTTCTGCTGACAGACAAACTGATAATGGCTCGCTTTTATCTGGCTGCAGACACCGGGCTGCTGTTAATTGGGGTTTGTATGGGTTAATTGGGGTTTG